AACTATTCAAGATGATTATCATAGCTATGTAGTAAGTTTTGAAATATGTGAGTTTCAAAGTTTTGAAATATGTGAGTCTTCCAACTTTGTTCCTCTTTTTTAGGATTGTTTTGGCCATTCTGGGTTTCTTGTCTTTTCATGTGAATTTTAGGATAAAGTTTGTGAATTTCTGCACACAAGGCAGTTAGGAGGTTGATAAGGCTTGAGTTGAATCTGAAAATTAATTTGAAGAATATTGCTATCTTAACAAAACGATATATTGTTAAGATAGTAATTTTAACGATACTATTGGGATAGCAGTAGTCCCCAATCTGTGAACACAGGATGTTTTTCCATTTATTTAAGTATTCCTTAAATACTTAAGAATTCCTTAAATTCTTTCAACAATATTTTATTGTCTCAGTGTATAATATTTTATTGTCTCAGTGTATAATTTTGTGTCTTTAGTTTAGTTTTGTGGTTTTAAAGTTTTTGTTAAAAGCAAAATAAGACAGGATTTAAAAATTACTGAGCTGTTTTCTTTGACTACATCAGAGGCTGATTTCTAAGTTCCTAATGGTTTCAATCAAGGTCTTATTCTCCTTAAATTGTCTTTTAGATGTTGAAGAGGATCATAATTTCCTCCACATTTATTTGAAATTGAATGGTCAATTAAAATACACACTAACTAACCCCTAAATCGAGTGGACTTCTAAGAGATTTTTCAAAAGGTATTTAAGGGAATAGTAAAGTAAATGATGCTTGAATGTTTAAAAGCCCCACGATTCTTGAAAAGCGCACTTTAATTTAGGCAGAAACCCATTCAATGTGAAAAGTGCTATAAAGAATGGAGGAGGGCAGTGAGGGTGTTTGTGTTCTTCACCACAAGGAAGGGATACATAGAAATAGCAAATGCAGAAAGGGGGAGATTAATGAAGACAAAGAGAGAGATGATGGCTTCTGATGTCACAACTCCTTGGAAAACAGCCTCAGCAAGGTGCCCTGTACCCAATAATGGTGGACAACTGTCAGAGCCAGGTTCTTTCCAGGGAGTACACAAATCTGGACAATACGCATACAGGGTGACCATATAAGTGTGACATCTCCCCCAAAATGTATACTGCATACATAGCTTCCTAGGCCATTTTGGGAGCTGAAGGGTAGGCAGGAAGAACCCAGACTCACTGAGATTGAATCTTCCTTCACTCAAGGGAAATAGGGAGTTAGAGTCAGCTACAATTTGATTTTTTTTTTCTTTTGAAAAATAAAGCATTGTGCCATATTTTTAGCCCTGAGACCTTTTCTGGAAGCAGAAGTAAGCTGACCGCTTGAGTTAAAAATTGTCTTTCCCTTTGACCTCTGTATTCTCTCACTCCTAGTAAAAATGTGAGAAGCAAGCAGCCATGAGTAAGTCATATACTTTGTGGCTGGAATAAGAATAGATGAAGGCAGCAAGTCCGTAATGATGGAAATTCTCCAACTTACATTGAACAGGGACCTTCTGGGTTGTATATTTAAAGAACAGAGGCACTGTAGACAGAGCCCAGAACTCAGGGAAAGCACTCTACCTTGTCAGAGGCAGTGGAGGGCAGCAGTCTCCAACCTTTTTGGCACTAGGGAAGACTGTTTTTCCTTGGACCAGGGAAACTGGGAGGGGCGGTGGGGAGGATGGTTTTGGGATGATTCAAGCGCATTACACTTATTGTGCGTTTTTTCCTATTATTACATTGTATATGAAATAATTATACAATTCACCATATGTTGGGGACCCCTGGTGTAGGGTATGGCTAAGAGAACAGCTGGGTTGAATCCTGACTTCACCACTTACTAGCTGTGCGATCCAAATGGTATTTATCCCTCTGTGCTTCACTTCCATCATTTGTAAGTAGAGATAATAAGAGAATATCGTGTAATATTATGGAGATGATTAAGTAAGCTAATATGGTCATGCCACTTAGAACTGTGCCTTGCCCAGGATTAGTACTTGGTGAACATAAATATCATTTGTTTTCATCATCATTGTCATCATCACCTGGGACTATGTCAAGTGACCAGGGTTCTCAGGCTGACTTTGCCACTTCCTTTTACAAAACAAAAAGGACTAAATCAATTTGAGTAAGATCATTTGTTTCCAAACAGGTTTTTAGCAGCAAAAATAATTTTTCAAACATAAACTTTGAGAGAAGTCAAGCATAACATGTACTTGCTGATTTTTTTTTTAAAATTCTGGTTGTCTAAATCAAACAAAATAAATTTGTGAGCTCACATAAATAATAGTCTAGGGAAGATCTAGCTTCAAGAATAGCTGAATATCAGGTTCAAATATATTATTAATAAGATCAATTTTTTTCTGTGTGTCTTCTTCTCTCAGCTCTGCTTCTGCTCTTTTTACCCCATTCCTTGGATCCTCTGCCCTCTTCCTCTTCATCACACAGTGGCTGCCAGTAGCTCTCAGAGCAATAGCCCTCTAAATTCCAAACTAGTGAAAAAGAGGGAGCATCTTTTTACCAGTGTTCTCTGTGAACATCCTGATACTCATTTTGATTGGCCTGACATGGACCAAATGCTCAGCCCTACACCAATCCCAATGGCCAGAGGAATGTATTGCACTGATTGGCACTTGGATCACATGTTCCCCCTGAGGCTGGGGAAAACAAAACAAAACAAAACAAAACAAAACAAAACCCTGTCCCTGAGACCAGAGAAAGGAAATGAGCTGTCCCTAGTAGACTTGCTTTTCACGCTACCTCCATGGCAGTCCCTTCTCAAAACCATTGAGTGTTCTGGTTTGAAACCCACTAAACATGGGGATGTCTAACTCGCAGCAAGTTTCCAGGTTGCAAATCTTTATTGAAGCAATACTATGGGAGAGGTCATTGGCCTGAGCAGCTTCCTGAGGGAGGGTACATCGTGTCTCCCTGAAATCTCAGCATGCTGACATCCACCAGCTCTACTGCCCTGTGAGACATTGCCTTGTCTCTGTGCACCCACAGCATGTTGACTACCATAGACATATATCCAGTAGTAGGCAGGGGACTCATCTGGGTTGAGTTCTGTGTTATACTATGTGTAATGCACTTTCCATTCTGATTATTTATTGCAGTTGAACCAATATCCTCAAAACACAGTGGCTTAAAGTAATAGTAATTCCTTAGTATCTCTCATAGTTCTAGGGTCAAGTAGGCTCCTCTGGGCATTTCTGGCTTGTGGCTTTCTGTGGTTACAGTTGAACCTAAGTCAGCTTTAAGGCTTTGTTGCTCATATGTATGATGCCTGGGCTGGGAACACTCAAATTTCCAGGGCTGGAATAGCTAGGGCTTGCTGAGCATCTCCTTCTCTTAACGGTTTTTCTGTATAGTATCTCCAGCAGGGTAACCTTGGAATATTCATATTTTTTTCATGGTGGCTGAAGAAACTAAGAGTGTGTGTTCCAAGAGAACAAGGGGGAGGCTGCATGACCTTTTCAGACCTAGCCTTAGAAATCTCAGTGTCATCTCTGTTGCACTCCATTGAAGAAGGCAACAACAAAGCCCACCCAAATTCAGGAAGTGGGAAAATACATCCTACTTTTACAGGGAGGAGTGCTAAGGAATGTGTATCCCTCTTAAACCCATCATATCTCCTGAGGATGGCTTTGGGTCAGCCTACTAAACAATGCACACTTTCCAGGCCTCTGAAAAACCCATGTCACACTTCTCAATTTGAAATCACATTTTAGAGATTATCCTTGGTCATGCTGTTCTGATTCTGTCCTGTTCTTGATGGAAATGAGTTATTCAGGAGGGGAGATTATCAGGGCATAGCAATAAAAATGGTCTCTTAAACAATTGTGTGCTGGACAAGAGGCTTAGCCATCACATGCAAATGCAATAGTCTCCATCTGGACACAGTGACCTATTAGGAATAGCTGTGATCCCTTTCAACACTCGTGAGAATATTGTAATACCTCACCCTGGTGCAGCTTAGGCTATTGCTAAGGAATGTTGCTAGAATCAAGAAAGATATTCTCTTTACCACATAATTCTTAAAAGCAGTGAGGCACCCTGAAGGGACTGTGATATAGTCAGATGTTATTACCTGGGGTTTGAGTATCTTCAGGGAAAAGATGATGCTATTCAAGGTGAGCTCCAGTGTTAATTGCAAACTTTGGTGTGGCCTCACATTCAGGGTAAAGGGAAAATACAAAAACATCTGACTGCACTAAAGCTCAGTGCTCATCTCTCTGCGACAATTACCAAGCGTGTGAATAAAATGAGAAAGCTGGGAGAAAGCGAGATGGAAATGTGGCTTTCCAGAAATGGATTGTGACATGCTGATTTTCACATATCTGCACATATCTTATTTTCACATAAAGGGTGTTTAAGAAGGGATTGCAAGGGGGAAAGTGTGAAGGTATTGTCAAAACATGAAAATAATATCTTCATTTTAATTTCTGGCACCAAGTCCTGTCCTAACCCTCTTTTATTAGAACGTAAATGCCTTCAAATTAATGAAAGCATGAAATTCCATGTTACAGAACTGCCTTGTTATTAGGAGACAAGTTTGGCTGAGCAAAGAACACTAGGTAAAATTATAAAATCAGTTAAGATGGTCTCCAGCCTTCCACTCCTTAATGTGCTGTCAGGTCTGCAAAATTTATTTTCTTCCTTGTAACTCTGGCAGATAAGATGGGCTGGACAGTTTTTTCAGGGTGACATTAAAGTGTTAATTGCATGCAATAGGAAGCATATAGGATTCAGCATCAGATGATGTGAGCTTTAGAATGAGGAAAAAATGGGACATAATGGCATAGATTTTGCCAAGAGATTGCTGGAGGTGGCAGCAAGCAATTGGATCAAACGACCTGCCCGTGGGCTGTCAAAGGCAGTGGAACAGCTTCAAAGCTCATTACTGCCTCAGCTTTACAAGCCTCTGGTGCTGCAAAGGAACTGAAAGGTGTGGAGGAGTGCATATAAACAGACTAGCTTGGAAATGGGGATTCAAACCTGCAACTCCAGATGAGCCTTCGGGGCCGGCAATGCCCTAAGGTTTGTGGGTGCATACCCAGCTGTTTCCTGTGTGGTGATTTTATCCCCAACTAATACACCAGCTGGTGGGGTTTTATTTCCTTGTTGACTTTTTTTGCTACTACCTGGGGAGTCGTGGTAACTGTAAACAAAGATTTAGAAGACTAACAAAGTGTCAGGCGCCAATGCGGTGGACTCTGTGCAGGTACTAAAATCCAATCTGTGGATGGGCAGGTGGCGTGGGGCGTTGGGGGGGGGGCCCAGCCACATGGGATGGCAGGGAGCAGGAGGAGGCCAAGAGCAGGAAGGCAGGATGAGAAAAGGGATCTGACTGCTAAATCCTCCATGTCCAGTGCTCAATGTTTAGGCACTTGCAGTGGATGTTGTTGGAAGAGCAGGGGCTCCAGTCCCCAGCTTCTGTGAGTGCTTACTGCTAAGGGCTCACAGAGGACCCATTCTGCAATAATTGCCCTCAATTAATGCCCGTATTCCCTATACCATCCCATTGGGTGAGGCCTATAACAATGGTTGACAAATAAAGGGGTACAAAAGGCCAGACCCCCTGCTTTAAGGTGAGGACTGTTGTGATTTATGCTCCAGGGCCTCTCATGGATAGGCCAGGTACAGATTTCACCTGGGCACTAGTCTTTGCTTGGTTTCCTCCCCTGCCTATCCTGTCCGCTTTCCTTTCTTAGAGGCTTCTCTTGAGAATCCTCCCTCAAAAGGACTTAACTATGGACATCTGATTTTTCCTGTCTAGGGCTCTGCTTGTGGGAAACTGAACTCAGATAGCATTGGGATTTAGGGGCCCCCATTGCCTAGTTCAGTCTGGCAGGAGGTGGTCAGGGCTTTGAAGCAGAAAGTCTCTAGAGATGTATATTCAGGGTAAATTCTCCAGTAGTGTGTCTATGTGGAAAATGGCAGGTAGAGGTTGAAGATATATTTTGAGGAGCAAATGTCAACTCCCAGGGAAAATGAGTTGGCAGAGGATGGGTGTCAGAGCCTTAATCGAGGAGGCTCTTGGTACGATTTGTACCAAGTACGATTAGAGCATTTGGTAAGAGAACCACAGGAAAATCCAGTGCTAGAGCTGGGGTCAGCAAAGTCAAGGATGGGAGATGCTATGACATGGAGGATACATGGAGGGTCAGGGCTCATGTCTTGTTAACTAAATCCTTGGTTTGTTTGTGGCAAGGCCTAGCCATGTGAATCTGGGAAAGTTAATCTTCATCTGGAAACCTCAGCTTCTTCATCTATAAAATGGCATATAGGATGCATCAAGAAATAGCAAATATTTTATTATATAAGTGTTATTCTAACCCATAGTCGGTCAAACCATTTTTTGCCTGCTATAGAGTGGACCTGAATTTCTAGATGGGGCTTACCTATAGATCCAGACTTGGAAGGCAAAGAAATGAGAAGCTATAGGGTACAAAGTAGAGGCTGAAATAATGGCCAAACCAACTAGATAGCCTACGAAGTTGCTGGTATGGCTATCCATGGTCCTGCATCTTAAGGCCCAGCATCCAAGAGTTGCCTTTTTGCATCTTTTTGCATGCTCCCTTAAGGAGCCAGCCCTAAGGGAAATAAGCCACTGGAGGTGGGGGCAGAGATATATACAGAGAGATAAAGATGAGAGAGAGAGGGATATAGGGAAGCCAGGAATCCTCCATATTTTGCCATTATTAATCCAGAATTGGACCCAAGAGGGTACACTGGGGACAGAAAGTTGGCTAGTCAATAGTTATTGACCTGAAGTCTGAAGTTTCAGGAGAGTGTTTTTCTAGCTTGGCAGACACTACATTCACAATGCCAGATTCCTAGTGCCTAAATCAAACTGGAAATTCCCAGAGACAGCAGCAGCAGGAATCCTTAGCCACTCAAATGTCCTTTCCCTAGGACCACTTGCTACTCTCTCTGTACTTCTAGTACAGAGCTGTATCATTCTTATTTTAGAGGAAGGTTCCCAGAAGCAGACCTTGAGATGAGAATTAATGTGCAACTTGATTTATTGAGGAAGTTTTCTCAGAAAAAACTGGGTGTGAAAAGCAGGAAAGAAAAGGACAAATGCCAAGCAGAGTTTCAGCTGCAGCCTGAACCCTAGGGGCAGCTTGGGAGTATAAATTATGCCTTGGATTTTGTCCCAACTCCAAGACAAAGGAGCTAGGCTTCCATTTTCCCAAACCAGCTGGTCATTGAATTAGTGCCACTCTGTCTCTCAGTAGCCACTCCAGTGGCCCAAAGGTGGTCTCCATAGAGAATAATAGAGATGGAGAATTAGAAGCAAAATACTTAGAAGGCAAGGAAAGAAACCCTGACAATGTAAAAGGGATCTAAGCAAATCTGAGTGGGATACGAATGGACTATTTTAAGGGCCTAGTCATTTCTGCAAATAGGTAGCTAAAGGATTTATTTTTTTCTAACACATTTATTCTATACATGTTAACATTATAAAATAGGGAGGGTATAGGATTAGCATTTGAGGTGTGAATTTTAGTCCTGGCAATTTTAGTCCATACAAACTTGGTGACCCTTTGCATGAATCATTCAACCACCTTGGGCCCCAGTTCTTACATCTATAAAATGGGTTGATTCTTTTTGATCTTTTTATTACAAGTTAATATTTGTGCTGGCTTCACTGGCTTTTGATATAGGTATTTAAAAATCTCAATAGGATGGTAGATTTTTCAATTTTGTTTTGTAATTTTGTCAGTTTTTTCCCTTTATATTTCAAGACATAATGCTAGCCATTCAAATACAAGACTACACTTTTTATCATAATGTAATGTCTCTTTTTATGCTTTTTGGCCTGAATCCAATGCCCTCTGACATTCATATTGCCATGTTTACTTTCTTTTGGTTAGTGATTGTATTACCTGTTTTTTCCATTTCTTTATTTTCAACTTTTCTAGACCATTATATTTTAGGTGCATCCATTATAAAACCACAAATAATTGGATTTTTAAATATCTGGCCTGATAATCTTGTTCTTATAAGCAAGTTAAATTTTTTACACTTATTTTGATTGCTATTCTATTTGTACTTAGTTATTTTATGTTGTATGTTTACCATACTCTTAATTTGCTTCTTTTTCTTCTTTATTTCTTTTTGTTTGTTTCAAAATTTTAACATTTTTACTTAAGTATAGAAATTCTGAACAGAATTTAAGTTATTTAGTGTCTCTGACATCCTCCCAAATATCACAAGAACTTAGTATGTTTTTATTATTCACTGAACACCTTTCCCATCTATATCTTTCTTGGTATTTTTTAAATTCTATATAATTATATGAAAATACCACTCTTTTTAAAGTCAATAGTAAATTAAGTTTATCAACATATTTTACCAAATTCTGTACTAACTATTGTTTATGTAATCCACTCCATCCCTCTATATCTCTCAAGGCATTTTCTTCTTATGCCTAAAATATAATACATTCTTTAGTGGTTATTTTAGTGAAGATTTGTGGGGATAATCTCTTATTATTTCCATTTCATCTACAGTGAATTCAGTTCTAATTGTTTATTTTGTTCCTGTCTTTCTTAGCAATATTTCTTCATGTGTTTTGGAATTTTATAATTGAATGGAGCATCTCTCTTCTCCATCTCACTCTCCCTACCTCACTCTTATGTCTCTCAATCTTGTTCCATCATCTCCCAAGAACATTTAGTCAAAAACCAGGTCTTATATTGGTAACTCAAGGCTCCTAACCTGCACTGATATTGGAGTTATCACTTATTCATCTGCCAAGTCAGCAATTAAGCCTAAGACTGTATTTCCTAAAGCTTCCCTGCCATCTAGTTTTATATTTATATAATGGCAGCTTAGACATTGGTTTTTGGAGCTTATTTCATCCCCCTTTAATGGGTGAGAGAACCTCAAACTTATTTCTGATTTCCAATAATGAGTTTGAAGAATAAGTCTCCTACTTCCCATGGAAGACTTAATAGTTTTGCTATCCCACAGGAACACATCTGTCTCCATTTGTTTCTGGATCTGGAATCAAGTGAGTCTGCAAATGCAGTCCCGGTTATTCTTCTGGGTTTACTCCCATTTCTGGTCTTCACAGATGTTTATCTCCATTTTAGGATGGCTCTGTTGTCTTAGATTCTTCTTTTTGGGTGTTGTATTTTTTTTTATCAGTCAGCTATTGCTATGTAAAAAAGACTACTACTGAAAACTGAGTGGTTTATCACTATAGTTATCAATTCTCACTCACTTTTATGAGCTTTGGCTAATCTGGACAAGGCTCAGTTGGGCAACTTGCTTTACTTTGCAGGAAGTGAAATGGGTGAATAAAAATCTTGGCTTCTAGCCGGGCGCGGTGGCTCACGCCTGTAATCCTAGCTCTCTGGGAGGCTGAGGCGGGCGGATTGCTCGAGGTCAGGAGTTTGAAACCAGCCTGAGCAAGAGCGAGACCCCGTCTCTACTATAAATGGAAAGAAATTAATTGGCCAACTAATATATATATGAAATTAGCCGGGCATGGTGGCGCATGCCTGTAGTCCCAGCTACTCGGGAGGCTGAGGCAGAAGGATTGCTTGAGCCCAGGAGTTTGAGGTTGCTGTGAGCTAGGCTGATGCCATGGCACTCACTCTAGCCTGGTCAACAAGCAAGACTCTGTCTCAAAAAAAAAAAAAAAAAAAAATCTTGGCTTCTTTATCCTGCTGCTAGCTAGTCTTCTGTTAGTGTCCCCAACAGCCAAGCTCAGTTGTAGCTAACAGACTCTGGTTCCATTGATGGATACATAAACGCCAGTCTCCTGGGCACCAAGTTGAGTGGAGAAGGTGAGAGGAAGCAGCAGAGAATATCTAGCACATGACCCAAGCGGAGCCATAGGCAGGTGGAAAATCAATGGGAGACACAGGGCACGTACAAACAAAAACCCAAGAGGACTCACAGAAATATATGATCACCCAAGACATATTTTGGAAGCTCACTCATTCTGGATTTTCAGATATTGGCAACTCTTGGCTCAGATAGAGAACACAGAAGCAAAGGGGACCCAGTATCTCCAAGTGGGAAAATCCTGTCACCTTTGGTAGGTTGTTTTGTACCCTTTGGACTTTTGCTTATTTAGATCTAATTAATCCAGTTGTTTGTCCTGCAAACAAAGAGAAGAAAGTAAATTTTTCCACTCAGTGGATTCTGCAGTGGCAGTCGGGAAAGATATTCAGTTCCAGCCCTGCCACTGTCAGGTTCCGT